AAACATTGTAGAAATTATAGCAAAAGTTATTGAAGAAGGTAAGACAGCTGTGTCAGAAATCTACTCTGTGAACTTTACAGAACAGTCAGCTGCTTTCACAAGTGCTTATTTGATCTCATTTTCAGTGTTTTTCTTTCTTTTTGTCCTATGTTTAGCTTCAGACACAGACGATAACCGTGAGGTGTTGATGGCTGGTAGGCATTATCCGTCAATCCAAGAGTTTGCCTCAGCCATCCCCAACCACCTTCTCCTCGGGTCTTTGCTCGAGCACCTGTGCTTTGTTTACGAGAGCAATCCAGCTCGTTCACGCATGCTGTTTAAAGGTAGCCATTGAGATCCTATACTAAGAACTGACATTTAGTTAGAAGAGAAATCCAAATACAGTTCATGTTTAGCATTTGGTTCATGTGTCGCATAGGTTTAAGTATTTTATTGCTCCTCTCACAGTCATAGGTCAGCGTTTAGCTGCCATGAATCTCCTTTCACCTCTGGCAATAAGTGATGAATTCAGCACCGTCAGACTCCAGCATAACCGGGCCTTCACTGAGCTGCTTAATGCTGCCAGCTCCTCACTCTACCCTCAGGTAAGTGGATCTGTTGCCAGCACCTACACTGCGTGCTTGGAGTCAGTATGTTAGTTTTAATCAACATTTTTGAGCAAATTCTGTACTTTGATAAACCTTCTTTGCTGCCTGCTGTGTCAAAGAGTGATCATTGTGATTATCCTCGTCTTGGTTTGCAGGGCCTCGGAACAATCGCACACAATCCTTCTCTAAGGTAAATTGTATTTGGATTTTTTTCTGATGCATGTGTTCAAAAGCATATTTCAGTACATTTTTAAGGAAGCCTGTTTGTGCCTTAAGCAGACCTAAGGAGGGACTGTTTCAAGCGCAGACATCACGATATCTCAGTGAGTTCGAAGAAATCTGTAGACTTGGGAAAGGATCATATGGAAACGTATTTAAGGTATATATAATTTTTGTGACATTCTTTAAGAAACTCTTCTAAACTTTTAATTTTTCCTCACAATTTCATTGTACATGTACAATGACAAGAAAGGTCTATTCTGTTCTAAAACTGGATTTGAGTTAAATCATTGTGTTATCGTTGATAGGTTATGAACAAATTGGATGGACAGTATTATGCGATGAAGAAAATTCTCATCAAAAAAGTTTCAAAGGAAGACTGTATGAAGGTAAGCCTTCTGAGCTGTGCTCATTAGAACACTTATGTAACTTAAATACAGAGATATGAAGTACCCGCTTTAACTTGTTTTACTTGCTGTAGGTCCTTAGGGAGGTCAAAATGTTGTCCAGCTTGCAGCATGTAAATGTTGTGGGCTATCACACCGCGTGGATGGAACATGTCCAGCCTGCAGCATGTGAGTATTTCAACTCTGTCCTGCACATGTTTGCTTGGAAGAAATGCATGATGGGACCGCTGATGGAGACTTTGTGTGTAAACTGTCTTTGTTACAGATCCTGAGTCAAACTTGCCTGCACTAGAATCTGCTGGACGACAAGACAGGTAGGCAGTGTGATTATTATCCGTTTTGGCTTTGTGATTTATTAGGTTGTTGATAATTACAGTGTTACTATTATTCTCATTTATGGGCTCAAATTTTCATTTCGAGGGTGTGCTAGAATAGATTTGCAGGCGTTAATCTTCAGATGGTACACAGATACAGCATTACTTCTCACCTTATGTGTGCAATGCTGTTTGTTTGCTCCCTTCCTCAATCCCTAATGTGTTCCGACTGGTCAGTTGACACGATATTTCCACAGTATAACGGTTTAACGTTTTCCTAACAACAAAGGATTCCTGGTTTTAATCCTAGGAGGAGACACAAATGCCATGGGCGGGTGTGCTAAATTAGATGCTGAGCTACCCATTGTAACCCTTTAGGGACTAGCCAAAAGTAACTTTTTGTCAGTGGTTACTAAAAAGACAACAATTTAAAATAAGCAGAAAGGTTTCCTCTTGCTTCTAATGTCCCCTCTGTGCAGTTTTTATACAATTTTAAAAAACCTAACAAAACAAAAAACAGCACTTATGTAGTAATCTTTAGCTGATTATATTAATAGTTATTTTTTCAGACCACATTACTGTTATATTAAGGGTTTTAGTTATGAGCAGCAAATTGGCACATGATTTGGAACATGGCTTCTGGTTTAAATTTGTCTCAGTGAGCCGAGTTTGTTTGACTGTTTCATTTTTATGTTGTCTGTGAACAGAAACAGAAAAATCTACCTGTATAAATGAGAACAGATTTATTGGGAATATTGCTTGACTAAAATTTTGTTACCGGTAGTGTGAACAAAGGCATATGGGAGAGAAGCAAACATAATGTTAACCATATTACTGTCACACTTTCCTCCTCTTGTTGGAACGTTGCCATCTGGATTTAGTTGACTCAGGTGCTTAAAGTAGCTACCAAGTAGGCATCTTGCCAATGTGTTACATAGTAGCATAGGTAACAGAAGAAAAGACTGGATTACAAACCAGATATTTAAGGCAGTTCAGTAGCATTGTTTTGTGTGCGAGTAAATAACTCCATTTGTGGCCTATGTAAATGTTTTACAAGTATAGGCTATACAAATTATGAACGACATTATTAAACTCCCTGGGAAAATGTCATTTTTTTCATTATTTCACAAGTGGTGTTAAACAGAGAAATTGTCCCACCATGGTGTCTCTCTCTGTGGGGATTGTGTTCTTTATAATGTGTGCCTCTCCCTTCTTTCTTGAAACATAATCAGCATCTCTGAGGTTGTCCTTAGCATACTTCAGTCTGACTTGAAGGTGTCTCTAATGCAGAAGTTGAGTTTTTCTTGGGCTGCAACCTCACAGTCCATTCCTGTGTATGGCTCTATTGGATTACTTCTTGAAGTCTACCATTCCCGACATGGCTTAGTCATTCATTGGTGTCTTGGCAGTTGTTTTGGGGTCTTTAGACACGTCTCCCTCTAGTTTTCTTTCCACAGTCTTTGAGATCTTTCACTTTCTACCTCTACCAGGCTCGTTCTTTACTGTGTGGCTCTCCTTATATTTCTTGGTGATGCTTTTCACTCCAGTTCTTGATGCTTGAAAATGCTGTGATAATTTTGTATAGCCATCTCCTTATTGGTAAGCATCAACAATTCTTTTCTCAAGTCTAAACTGATTTTATTTGTCTTTGGCATAATGCTTTCTCATGTGACAGCTAAAACTCTTGCTGAAGTTTTAACTGTGTAAATTAGAAGATAACCCTTAGATTTAACTTGATTTTACAAGCTTTGAGTATTACAGAGTTACATCATTGCACAGCAATGATTTGTGCTATGGCTCAATAAAAAGGTCAGTTTTTCAGGAGTCTGATAATGTTGTTTTCTTTTTCTTTTTTTCTGAAAGAAATCTGGATTTTTGTAAATGGTTTTCTTGGGAACACATACATTATGTATGTTTATCATAGAAACCCTATGTTGATTTCTTTATGTACTTGGTTTCTGACTTGTTGTGTTTAAAAGCATTTGGGAAAATTTTGACAAAACTAATAATTTTCTCCTGCTTTTGTAAAATTACCTTGAAGTGGAACACTTTGGATGAATTGCTGACTTCAATTCAGAGCACAAATAACATTATTCTTGATTATGTGTAGAAATACCATTAAAGGTGGGCTATTTATTGCAGGTCTTGGCATAAAGTCTGTGTGACTAGTGAATGACTAGATATCTCGAGGCATGTACAGGCAGCACTAGTAATTAGTTTGTGAACTTGCACTAAGTCTGTCTCGACTCTTTCATTTACAGCCTTGATGAAAGTGGGGAGAAGAACAGCAGCAGTTCCTCTATAGTTTTTCAGAGCCACAGTCAAACACCCGCAGAGACTGCTTCAAGTGCCAAAGTACCTCAGAGAGACACGCAGCCTATAAAAGCCTTAGTTCCCACCCAGGAGGGACAGATGGTGTGTCCCAAGACGATGCGTCGCATCCCAGAGAACTATGTCCCTTGCGTTTTTCTGGGACAGCAAGGTCCCATTAAGGCCTCCAAGTGTCCTGCCATGGGTTGGGATGCTTCAGCAGTTTTGGATGAGGAGTCCAGTAGGAGTAGCATGGAACTAAACAACAACTCCTGCATTGACAAGGAGTGTCATCAGTGGACTGAGAAGCGTCCAACGAGGCCTTCTAAAGAGGTAGGTGATTTAAAAAAAAAACAACAAAAAAACCCAAACTTTCTTGGATTTAAAAAAGCTAATTAAACTAATTTCAGATACTGAGGTAAGTATATGTAGAAGTCATAAGTTCAGGCTTCAGACTGATCTAAATTATAATATTTATAATTATTTTATTTTTATAATTTTTCACAGTTTTCACACAGATGTCAGTGAGATTGAATATCAGTAATATGATCATCTCCAGCACACTGCTCTCGAACAGTGCATTCCAATCAGAGAATAAACTGAAAGGGTATACCTAGTTTAAGATAATTTTATATAGGCTTGCAAAGCAACGCTAGTAAAGCCCATAAATTATAATAAATAATAGACATGAAGGTGGAAATGAGCAATAAGAGTTTTTTCTTTTTCTTTATTGCAAAAAAAGAAAAGCAGAGGATGTAACTTTTCTGTTATGGCATATCTGCAGGTGCACTTCCACCTGATGCTTTATATCCAGATGCAACTATGTGAGCGCTCCCTAAAAGACTGGATCTCTGAGAGGAACGCCAAGCCCAAAGAGGAACAAATCTCAAGATGTAATTTCTCAGTTATACATCCATGTTTATTTCAGATTACTTACAGCCCAGAGCTTCATGTTGCTTATAATATATGCAGATAATATTTTTAGGGGTATTCTGAGATAGAAAATCTTTTTGGGGGAGGGGAATAAATAGATGTATTTTCTGTTTTCAGGTCCTTATGCCTGTATTGATACTGAACACACGCTCAGACTGCTAAGACACATACTTGAAGGTGTGGAGTACATTCACTCCAATGGAATCATGCACAGGGACCTGAAGGTATGATTTCTCTTTTCTTTCTTTCATCCACACCTCTGTTACTTTAAGGTTAGTCAGCGGTTTGATGCAAAAGTTTAAAGTCAGGTGGAGTTTGAACAGTTTGAACTGGTGTCAGGTTGGAGTAATATGAAATTATTATTTTACATATTCCTGTTCACTGTCTGTCACAAAGGAGATGTTGTGTACATTCTCCCAATGGTTGAAGATAAATTTGTACAGCTTGTCAGGAAGGATTTTCCTCGTTTCTTCTTTCTTGCCTCTGACGTGTGTTAGATAAATGTCACTCTTACAAATATCCTGAAGTCTCCTTGTCTGTCGAGTTAGGTTCATGAGGTAGTCTCTCTGTTTAAAGAAACATGGTTTTGTTAAGGTTAAGGGCAGGTGGCCTTTTTGGTTGTAGACAGTAAGCGGTGAGGTCAGGCTGAGGAGCTTCACTAGCAGAGAAACATTTCTCACATTAGGCATGTTGTTCAGGAAAAGGTACAGACAGTTCTCCCCTGCTTCGCTTAGCTTATACATGCTAGCTCCGTAGCTCAGCAGCAGGTCTACGAGCTCCTCGTTTCCCATGCTACATGCCTCGTGTAAAGGTGTCATGCCAGCGTTGTTCACTGCATTGGGCTCCGCGCCTTGTTCGAGCAGCTCAGTGATGCTGCTAATGGCGTCTTCTGGGGTTTTAGTGGTCTTTGTAGCCATTGCCACAGCAGCGAGGTGTAGAGGGGTGTTCCCAGTGTGCTGCACTCCCTATTAAAAAGAATAATACAGACTTGTTGAAGGACACAAGATATTTCAACAGTGTTGAGAGCAGAAAGGTTAAAGGAAAACTGAATCACATGCTGCCATTGTGCATCTTTACAAACTTGATCCATGCTTTTGGATGGGAAGGGGCTTTTTATAACCACAGCATATATAATTGAGTGAGTATGTAATTAAGATTGTAAGTAAATATTTAATTAATGATAAATTGGTGTTGACAGTTATAATTAACTTTTCCTATGTCTTATTATCCATAAAGCACAGTTGATTAAAAAAACAAACAAACAAACATAATACTGAATATCAAATTCTCAAACAATACAAACCATGTTAACATTTGCGCCATGCCTGAGCAGACTGGCAATAATATTCTTATGCAGTATCCCAGCAGCCATATGCAGAGGTGCCATCCCACTGCCATCCACAGCATTAACATCGGCACCATAGCACGCCAGTATTTGGACAGCAGATAGTGCTCTGTAGCGTACTGATATGTGAAGAGCTGTCTGGTGGTCTTTTCTCTCCACCTACAGATGAACCACAATTTAACCAGTATTTATCTTAAAGCAGAATTTACTTCCACAGGCTTATTACAGTATGCTGACTTTGACGTTGTTGGTAGCCCTTTTGCATGTTGAACATCAAAGTTAGGAGATTGTAAGAAGCAGCTAGACATCTATTTGCCTACATGGAAAACTCACCTTAGCATTGATGTTTACACCATGGTCACAGAGGAGCCTTAAACAGGCCTCTGCCTTTGTACACACACCGATCACTTTAGTCTGGAACTTGGAATCTGGTTTTTGGGACGTATTCAGGATGCTTGGCCAACCAATTATCACCAAGTGCAGCGGGGTTCGACCAAGCATATCTCTGTGACAGAGGTAAAGGTGAAGACATGGAGAACAGAAGACTTTTAACAGAAAGTACATTATTTTTCTTGTTCTCAACCCCCTATAAAATAATTGTATGATGATCAAATGCTTCAGGAAGTATTAGTTGATTCTACCTGAGTTAGATGTCAGGTTTTAGTGCTTACATCCATACCTCAATTCAGTGTCTGCTCCTGCAGACAGAAGACTCTGCATGCTTTGGATTTTTCTGTAAGAGGCAGCCAGGTGAAGGGGAAGAATAGCAAAGCCCTACCGGGAAAAACGAGTGAAGAAGAAATGGAATAATCATAAATTTAAGTTTCTTGTTTGCCTATATACAGTTGACATTTATTTGCTATCAAAGTTGTTTTCTTTCTTTGTTTCTGTGAAGTGAGACTTGCTTGCAAGCATAAAAAGATCCTTGCAGTATTTTATAAGATGGTAGCATTGTTGCATTTACCTTGCAGAAGGCTTCTTTATATACTTTGCCTTGTGGCTCAATGAGGAAATTGCTCCCATGTTTCTCAATCAAGTCTTCAATGCGTTGCAAGTCCTCTTCCATGACTGCTGTGTAATATTCATTGCTGTGAATTTTGCTAATGCTACCTCTCTTATCCAAACACTCCTTGTGCTCCTCCAGCATGGTCAAGTGCTGCAAATTCACTGATGTTTTTCATAGAAAGACATCAGGAAGCAATACTTTACGGAAGGGAAGTCGAAAGCTACTTCTGTTTTCTGTGGTTGGTGTTTTTCTAACTTTGATGTGCAGCCTTCCTGTCTGAACTGATAACTTGTTGCTGCACTCGGGGCCAATTTTGGGGGCTTGCTGCATCCGTTCCTGCAACTAACTGTGTTTGCATCACATAGTTACCTTTTATTTACCTGTACTTAAAGTTAAATCTTGATGACTGTGGGGGGATGAAATTGAAAAACAATTGACCATGTTTGGTTACCTTCAATTTTATTTTCATATTTTTACTTTCTCATTTTATTTTTCCATTTTAAGTTATCTTTAGCTAGACTGAGCAAGTGCCCCAGTTGTCTAGCAATCTCATAAATCAGTAAGTTCAGGGAAATAAATGGGGAGAAAATGTAGGTGAAGTCACTACAAATAACGTAAATAAAAAAATGAATACAATTGAAAAGTAATGGAAAAAACAAAATACAGTATAAATAGTCCCATTATTAAAAATATGCTTTCTATTGCATTTAATTGCTTATTTATATATTCTTTTTGTTCACTGGGACAGACTGGATTAATTATTCAATGTATTTTCCCATCAGAGCCTTTATGTGGAAAAAAATTTAAGAAAAAATATTGCACATTTTATGTAAAGTTAGCTTCTCTCAAATCATAAGAATGTTTAGTTTTTGTCTTTATTGTATTGCAGATTTCACATAAAAGAATCTGTGTCCTTAGTGACATATGGAACTTAATTATAACCTTTTTTTTTTCTCCCCACAGCCAAGGAACATTTTTCTTCACGGCCATGATTGTCATGTTCGGATTGGGGACTTTGGTTTGGCCTGCAGGGACATCATAGCGGATGGACTCAAAAGCAACACTTCTCCTTACAGCGGTAAGAGTTTACCCACATAACATGGCATGTTTCAGAACCACCAGTAGATGGCAGCGTTTGCTATTTAATGACATTTCTGGTGTTTTCAAGATTGCAGCCATACTTCAGGTGTTGGCACATTTGTGTATGCTGCACCAGAACAACTGAAGGGCTCCAATTATAATTCAAAGGTAATGGACTGCCTTACTTATTAATAATTCATGTTTTCTTTTCATGTAAAAATCATTCTGAAGTGTTAGCAATTTATGATTAGAAATGGTAACATTTTATTAGAATTAATTATTTTTTTCTGTTGTCTTTTAACAACTGTGCTGAACATGAATCTTCATTTGCTGCTCACTCAGTCTGACATGTACAGCATCGGAGTGCTGGCTCTCGAGCTATTCCAGCCTTTTGGTACCGAAATGGAGCGGGTCCGGACACTTGGGGACCTGAGGGAAGGGAAAATCCCTGACTCGTTCTGCCACAGATGGCCAGTTCTGACAAAATACATCATGAATCTCACAGATAAAGAACCCAGTGTTCGTCCCACAGCCAGCCAGCTTCTACAGAGTGAACTCTTCTGCAGTAAAGACAAGGTATGGTGTAATTAAAAGACTATTTCTTTCTTTACTTAAGGAAACAAAGTAAATAAAAGTTACTCATGTAAAGAGTGGATTATGTTTTACTGTTTGAAGTTTTTGAGGTTTTTGTTTTCATAATAATTCCAATCCAGTTTTAAGAATATTCCTCACCCTCAGGTGATCCACGGTTTGCAGAGGAGGGTTGAAGAGCAGGAAGAAGAGATCATGCAGCTGAGGAGACGGATCACTCAGCTCCAGACTTCACAACTCACAGTTAATTTCTCCTAGCTGGAAAACACCTGAGCCTTTGAGGAAAAAAAAAAAAGTTGCTAGCTTAGTGCAAATTAGTGTGTTTGTATGTTTGAATATTTAAGTGTGTCTCATGCATCTGGATTGCAAATACTTTTCTTCATTGAGCAGTTTAATAAAAATTATTTCTAATATATTCGGCAGAGTTTCTGCAAAGCACCGTGTCACTTAAAATCATTTGAGGTATTTCTTTAAAATCTATGATTTATATTATGAGTTTGACAAGTCGATGTTTAAGCAGAACTGAGCAGCAGAATAGTTTATCCTGAGAGTTCAAGGTGCAGTCTTTACTGTTTGACACAATAAGTCCTGTCATTCTTTCTTTTTTCTGAAAACATAGGCACTTATTGTATTTACATGATGAGGGGTTTCTATATTTCCTGCATATATGTTTGAGATTTGTTTAAAATGAGATACAGGGGGTGCGCTCTGTTGTGTTTCAATAGCTTTCAAACGTTAAAATGCTGGGAGCACCCAATAATATAGGGAAAATAGCATTTCTACATAGTTTTTGTTTTGTTTTAGTAAAATAATTAAATCTGGACCACTTCTATAATCACGATAAAGCTATAGAGCTCATACTGTGGGGTGGTACACCATGTACACAAAGTTTAGAGGTATGTACATGCGCCGGATATTCACTAGGAACGTTTGACGATTTTAGGAACCTATCAGAGGCCTTGTTTCATCCCAGGTACCCGGATGTACCCGTGGGGCAATTAGCTACGTCATTGTTCACCGCCGGACACCCGCTAGAAATAAGGAATGGATTTACAACCTCTACTAACGCGATCATAACAGGTTACAGGTGAGTGTTGTATTGCCTTTACGATCAAGTGCCACTTTAACTGTGCGCCCGTAATATTTTGGTAGGCGTGAGCCGCTGAGATTTGTTGTAGTAAGCTTACACCGGTTCTCTATGTCGTGTCGGAGAGAGCAGCGCAGTGATCATACACAAGCGCCGGCGTCGAGCCCCTCCTTTCTCCTCTAGCTAGACGCCCCGTTGCCCAGGCCACACATTTTTAAATAAAATAAATGTCACCGCACAGCCAGGAAACTACCCGTCAGCTTGCTGGTCCGTAACTACGCTTCTCTGCGCCATGTCAGCCAGCGTCCATAGTCTTGTGCTAGCTAGCAAGTAGGCAAGCTAGCTAGCCGCACAAAATGCTAGCACAGTTCGATAGCTACGTTGCGTTCGGCGTTTCGATGGTTTTTGCATCTTCTTTAAGTGCGCGTCATTACATCTCGGAATTCGACAAGACTGGTAAGCTCTCAACTTGCTCTCCGTCTGATGTGCTCAGGGTTTTTTGTGTGTTTTCTTGAGGTTTTGCGACGCTGCGTGTTAAAGGCCTAGCAGCCGTCATTTAGCCAATGTGAGCCACTCTGTAAGAGCAGGTGGGAGGGAACAGCTGCTTCTGTTGTAAACGTGCTTCCGACTTGGAAATTTCCTCGGTCGAGTGGGTTATCTGGCATTTCCCCTCTTGAGTTTTCTAAACACTAATTTTTGTCGATATTTTAAGTTTGTTAGTTGGACAGAGTTAAATTAGATGTCGAAAGTAACTCTTGTCTCCTGGTGTTTGTTATTTAAAAGGAATCTGACAAGATGATTCAAATAAAAGCAAAGGGTCAAAAACAAATATTTGGCGCTCACTTATGCTAGTCTGTTTGTGAATGTAAACAAATCATCCAATCTAACACAATTTCTGATACTTGTTTGCTGAAAGTTTAGGCGATGGTATGAGGGCAGTGTTTAATATAGCCTTACTTAACTATAAGCTATAAGAGACTTAGAGCTTTTTATTATCATTGTGCAGTTTCTTGCACAGCGAAATTGGGTATAATCTGTTAATGTGGCTTTTGTATTTAGTAGTTGTTGTCCAAACTCACTGTACTGCTACCTAACTAGTGTAGGATTGATGTAGTATTTAAGTTTTCTTTCCCCTTTTCCAAAATAACAATGAGAAAATTCAAACCTAGCAACGACTTTGTTTTTTTTGTTTTGTTTTCAGTTCATAAACGTATGTGTCTTTGTTCCTAATGCAGCTATGAACAATGACCATAGTTGACGGATCTTCAGAAAAGTCTGACCACGAGTCAGCCGGATGTAACCGACCCTCCTTCACCAGTGGAGACGTGGGGATGGACGGCAGTTGTTCCAGCAGCTGGGCAGTGGGCCCCACTGTACCCAGTGACTCTCCAAGGCTCAAGGCTCCAGTAGGCTGCCTGGCCCCCACTCCTGGAGCTGCTGTGTACAACAGTACACCCTCCTCTGTGGACCGGCCCAAGGACCAAGGTCAGAGCAAAGCCTGGCTTTTTTTCAAAATGTCTTTTTAAGCTGTTTGAAGATTTTTATTGTCAGACAGAATAGTTTTCCAACCTGTTTTAGCAAATATGGAACCACACTTTTTAGCCATTCTTTACCCATATTTGTCAGAATTGGTTTTAGTAACATACAGCTAATCTTTTTGCTTCTGCTTTCACACAAGTTTGACAACTGTTTTTGTGGGTGTTGTGTTGCTGCTTCCCTTCTCCGTTCATTCATCCAGTTATGTAATGCATCCAGCTTTGCATGATCAGTCACTTCAGCTCGTGATGCAATTGCTGTTTTTATATAAAGACCGGCAGTCCAACTTGTTTAGCAGAAACAAAGGAGAAGGCAAACTGTCCTGTCTTTCTTCCTGAGCCTGTTTAGGAGTTGTTCACAGTGGCCAGAATCACATTATATAACTGTTAATAGTTGTAGCTATTACTGTGATGTCCTGACATGACTTTGCCATGTGCCAGTGTGTGGTTGTATAAGTAAGGTAGCATTAAATTATGTCCTTTTTAAAATGTATTGAAACAGATTTTTAGTAATAATTGTGGCTCTGTGTGTCAGTGATGAGCAGT